CTTAGAGAATTACAATTTTTCATAAGACCAAAGAAAATAAAAACATTTTCTCATGCAAAATTCAAGGTGAAGGCCTAACCCAGTATTTGTCTAATAGACAGTCACTGACAGCCTCCACAAGAGGAGAAAGCAGCAGGTCACCAGTTGGTGTTCAATTAGAGCCGTGAAGAAGGTGCTCTGAAAGGTGTATACTGCAAAGTACAGGGACATTTATATATAAATATATATATAAATATATATATATATATATATTTTCTTTTTTACGAACATAGATAAAAACAAAAAAAACAACTATTATTTAATGTGGTATATATTCCTGAGAAACTGGTTTGTGTTGTTATTGTTAGGAATCCAGTTTGTGTGGGTTGTGTTTTTGTGTGTTTTCCCTCCACCACCAGGTGGCGCCTGGTTCTCGTTGGTCCTCTCACACACCTGCGGATGGTTGCCTCATTACCTGAGGACTCTTAAGCTGCTGACTGCCACTACCTCAATGCCAGAGTGTTTGCCAGTTTTGGGTACTCTAGCCAAGCTGAGTTTTGCTGAGTCAAACTGAGTTTTTCCATCCTGAGTCTTAACCTTGTTGTTTGTTTTTGTCTTTGCCTCTCGGCAGGAAGTCATCCTGCAAACTGGATGTTATGGACTTCTCCCCCTGGAAAGATCGTTTGAGCTACAAACTGAGCTAGGGATTCAAACTGGAGGTTTGGATCTACCTTTCCCCAAAGGATTGTTTGAGCTTCACACTGAGCAGGGGATTCATCTCCACAAGAAACCGTTCAAGTACCATAGGAAATCTAAGTGGATGTCAGCTCCTCCGTTCCTCAAGGAAACACCTCAACTTGGGTAAACCCTGTCCGCCCTCCAATGAGCAAGTCAATTACTGGAACAACCCACACCGACTGGATTCAGAGAAAGACACCTTTTCTGGAAACGTGAGTCCTGTTGCCTTTATCCCCTTTTGCATCAAAGCTCAGATTTCCAACTGAGCCTGAACTAACCACAGGAAGTTCCCCTTAACTTTTCAGTCCCGGTTCGCCAGTGTTCAGAGCAGCACTGGACCTATCTCTACCAGTTCTCAATAAACCAGTTAAATCTTTCCCTGGTCTCTGTGTTTGGTTTTCTGCATGTGGGTCAGATCTTAGAATAAAATCATGACAGTTATCTCAGTAGTAGCCATTCAAAATTTACCCACTTTCGGTGATGGGCCCTTGGCTCGTCCCCTACAATTCCTTTTTAAACATCAATCGTTTGACTAAAATATTCTTTCTGTCATGATTTGTGGACATTAAGATCTAAAGAGAAGTGCCTTCTCCTGGTCAGACCCTGTACTTCAGTGAAAGGGTAGAGTCAGCATAAAGAAAAAATATCCACGTCCAGGAGGAGGGGGTCATTCAAGTGGGTGGAAGTTGGAGGGGATTTTGCTGGGAGTTGCAGGGAAGTGGGCTGCCATTTGGCTGGCATTTGACTGGGAAGGGCCATTTTGAATGGCTGCTACTTAAGTTTTAAGACATAATCAATTCAATTCAGTTTATTTATATAGCGCCAAATTCACAACACATGTCATCTCAAGGCACTTTACAGTTCAACCAGATCATACAGTCAAATTGATACAAAGTTTTCTATCTAAGGAAAACCAGTTGATTGCATTGACTCATTGACTCAAATACAATCCCCCACACTAAGCATGCTTGTAGCGACAGTGGAGAGGAAAAACTCCCTTTTAACAGGAAGAAACCTCCAGCAGAACCAGGCTCAGTGTGAGCGGCCATCTGCCGAGGCCGACTGGGGTTCAAGGAGACAGAAGCAGAGATACAAAAAGCAGCTGTAAAAGGCGGCCCCGTCCAGGAAACACACAGCCAGGCAGACGAGCTCCAAGGCAGCTCCCATGCCAGAGGACGAAGAGAGCACATCCACTCAGTCACGGTCAGAGAAACAGGACCACACTGGAAAACAGGCCGATCTCCAACATCTATTAACAAGGGTGTTGATAGAAGCAGCACAGCTGATGTTTTTTTCCAGGATGACGTCACAGCCAAACAGGAACAGACGAGGCAAAGCTACTCTGAGGAAAAGCAGAGAGAGCAGAAGGTTAGAGATTGAACTAACAGATTCTGTAGAATAGGAGAACAGAGAGAGAATGAAGCAGAATGATGAAATGGGGGTCCCTATGTCCTCCAAAAGTCTAAGCCTATAGCAGCATAACTATAGAGATAGCTCAGGATAACCTGAGCCACCCTAACTATAAGCTTTATGAAAAATGAAAGTTTTAAGCCTAGCCTTAAAAGTAGACAGGGTGTCTGCCTCACGGACTAAAACTGGTAGTTGGTTCCACAGGAGAGGAGCCTGATAACTAAAAGATCTGCCTCCCATTCTACTTTTAGAAATTCTAGGAACCACTAGTAAACCTGCAGATTGAGAGCGAAGTGCTCTGTTAGGAACATAAGGAACAATCAGATCTCTGATATAAGATGGAGCTTGGCCATTTAAGGCTTTATATGTGAGAAGGAGGATTTTAAATTCTATTCTTGATTTAACAGGAAGCCAATGAAGAGAAGCCAGGATAGGAGAGATATGATCTCTCTTTTTCATTTTCATTAGAACTCTGGCTGCAGCATTTTGGATCAGCTGAAGGCTTTTAACTACAGTTTGTGGACTTCCTGATAGTAAAGAATTACAATAGTCCAGCCTTGAAGTAACAAATGCATGGACTAGTTTCTCAGCATCACCCCTGGACAGGATATTTCTAATTTTTGCAATGTTCCTCAGATGAAAGAAGGAAATTCTAGAAACCTCTTTGATATGGGATTTAAATGACAGGTCCTGATCAAAAATAACACCAAGATTTTTTACTTTATTATCTGAAATCAGTTTAATCCCATCCAAATGAAGTGACTGGCTAATCAGTTTCTTTTTCAGAGACTCTGGTCCAAAGACTATAACTTCTGTTTTGTCTGCATTCAGAAGCAGAAAGTTAAGAGTCATCCAGGTTTTTATGTCTTCAAGACATGCCTGTAATCTATGTAATGGGTTAGCTTCATCTGGATTTATAGACAGATATAGCTGGGTATCATCAGCATAACAGTGGAAATTAATCCCATGCTGTCTAATAATTCTACCAATTGGGAGCATGTATAAAGTAAAGAGAATTGGTCCTAGCACTGATCCCTGTGGTACTCCACAGGTAACCTTTGAGCGTGTTGAAGATCTATCATTAACATGAACAAACTGAATTCGATCAGATAGATAAGATTTAAACCAGTCTAGTGCTGTTCCTTTAATTCCAACAAAATATTCAAGTCTTTCTAAAAGAATATTATGGTCAACTGTATCAAATGCAGCACTAAGATCCAACAGGACGAGCACAGATACAAGTCCATTATCTGAGGCCATGAGAATATCATTAGTGACTTTCACCAGAGCTGTTTCAGTGCTATGATGAGCTCTAAAGCCAGACTGAAACTCTTCAAAAAGTTCATTATGGTGGAAGTGATCGCAAACTTGTTTGGCAACTACTTTCTCAAGAATTTTGGATCAGAAAGGAAGATTGGATATAGGTCTATAATTGACCAAGTCATCTGGGTCAAGAGACGGTTTCTTAAGCAGAGGTTTAATTACAGCAATCTTAAAAGCTTTAGGTACATATCCCTGTAACAGAGATAGATTAATCACATCTAAAATGGAGGAGGAGATCAAAGGGAATACCTCCTTAAATAACCTGGTTGGAACTGGATCTAACATACAAGTTGAAGGCTTAGATGAAGACAATAATTTTGCTAATTCAGAGAGTTCAACTGGATCAAAGCAGTCTAAACCCGGTTCAGATTCCATGACTACCTCAGGTACAATCGCGGATAGAGGAGTGCTTATGATCTTATTTTTAATAAGATCAATCTTATTTATAAAGAATCCCATAAAATCATTGCTGCTAAGAGCAGGTGGAATGGACGGTTCAACAGAGCTATGGCTCTGGGTGAGTTTGGCAACTGTATTAAAAAGAAATCTAGGATTATTCTTATTCTCCTCTATTAATGAGGAGAAGTATGCTGCTCTTGCTTTACAAAGGGTCCTCTTATACAGCAGTAAACCATTTTTCCAGACTAGGAAGGACTCTTGCAGGCCTGTGGAGCGATATTTTCTCTCCAGTTTCCTAGCATTTTGCTTCAAAGTACGCAGCTCTGCTCTGGGCTTCTCAGTGGGTGTGTCACTGAGTGGGGAAAACCGGTTAGAAACGTGAACGGGTTGGTGGTGACCAGTGGGCAGAGATCCACGACTACGCTTTCTGCGTACAGTTACCCAATCGCCTGGCTGCTCAGGCACTTTTGGAGGACAGCTACGTGGGGGGCCTACTTCAACAGCCTGAAGCCTGGATTCTAACTCTGACACCCTCGCCTCCAAAGCTACAAAAATACTACACTTATTACACATCCCATTATCACTAAAGGAGGCAGAGGAATAACTGAACATCTGACACAGAGAGCAGGAGAGAGGAGAGGAAGAAGGAAGAGTTGGAAAAGAGTCAAGGGAGGGAGAGAGAGAAGCCATAGCAATGCTAAGCTAGCGCTAGCCTAGGCTAGCTACTTCTTGCTATCAGAAATAAAACCGTGTGAAACTGACAAGTGCTCAGTAGAAAAGTGCAGCAGAAGGTGCTATGTTTTAAAGTAGTCAGTTAGAGTTACTTAGATACAGAGATATCACAGAGAAAATAACTTAACTTCAGATGGAGATCCTCTGAACAGCTGCACACTCAGTTGCACACTCAGTTAATCCAAACAATCATTGGTTAAAGAAACTGAATCATTTGGGTTTTTTTATGAAAATCTAATTTATTGAGGTGTCTCTGTGTATGAATATGCACACAGATTACATTTTACCAACAAAGGCAGCTCGGCCCTATGATACAGCAGCTACAAGTATTTTATCACATTTGTGTCCTCAGACAGTAACCGACTAGTGTGACTAAGGAGTCTTTGTGCTCCTGCCATAAGCAGGTTGTCATAGGTGCATCAGGAAGATGCTGAGTCTGAGCCTGAGTCTTCAACATCTGTAGAGTCATACTCATCGGGGGAATCTGTGAGAGCAGGGTAAGGCTGTGGCTTGTCCAGGTTTACATAGGTGATGTTCAGACTGATGTAATGCTCTCCTTCCAGGCTTGACAGGATTGTGGAAACAGCTATAACCAGAGTAGTGAAGCTGGGTCTCAGTTCTGGATCAGGATCCCAGCACTGGAGCATAATACAATATCTGCAAAAACAAGGACAGAGTCTAGATCTTGGGTGTTCATAGTGTGGAAAGGGGGCAATTTGAGGTGGCATTTTCTGTGGCCCGTCGCTTTAACATTAGAATCAAGCAAATCTGGACAACTGGCACAGAGCATTGGACATTATTACTAATATAGCTTAAAATTAAAAAATATTACATATAATACAAAATATCTGCCTGTAAAACCATGCTTTATGTTTTCTTTTCCCACTATAGGAATCTTTCAGAATTAATTCATCAAATTTGATAAAGATTATTTAGCTAAACATTTCCTCTGATTTCCACCCATTTTAAAATATAATTATCTATCCCTCATTTAGGGATATGTTCTGCCAATATGTGTTAGATATAGCTAAACCTTTATTTAAGAAGCCTTCTCTTTAACAACATGAACTCATTAATTATACACCTATATCTTATCTATCTTTATCTAAATTTCTTTGAGTAAATATTTGGTTATCAAATCTGTTAGCACTTACAACATGATCATCTCTGAATAGTTTCCTTCAGGTTTTAGAGCTCTTCATTAGCAATGAACTATTATGCTCTTTAGGACTCTGGTTCTGCTTTCCTTTTGAGTTCCGAATTGTCTGTTATTTATAGTTTACTGTGTTCGTTGTTTTGTAATTGTTTGGTATTTTCCAGTTGTGTTATTTATGATTGTTGTTTTTTTTTTTTTCTGTTGTTATTTATAGTTATTTGTTTGAGATCTTATTATTTATCTCAGGTTTCCCCTCAGTCCTTTTCATCTCAGTATTTTCCTTTACTCCTTAGTTACCTCAATATTCCTCTGCAGTTTTTCCTCTTCCTGTGACTGACCCACCTGCCTCTTTTGTTCTTGTCGCTCTGTCTTCCAGTATTTAACCAGCCATTTGTACAATGCTTCTTGTGGAATCCTCCCTCATCCACCATATTCCAACTCCATGTTTCCTTCATTGCTGTAGTTACTGGTTTATTTCATTCAAAGTATCTGCCTTCATTTCTTTGTTTCAAAACCCTGCGTATATTTTAGTTTGACCAAACTCCATTAACTGACAAAAAGAGCACTGGTGAAAGCACTAATGATATTTTTGTGGCCTCAGATAATGGACTCATCTCTGTACTTGTCTGGCTAGATCTGAATGCAGTGTTTGATACAGTCGATCACAATAATCCTTTTTGAAAGGTAAACGTGCATAAGGGAACAACCACTATGGGCTCAGCTTTACTGAGACTAAATCTGCTCTCCTTTATCTTCTCAACCTGAAAACCAACTTGTAGCTCATCTACTTATCTGTTTCCTAGACAAGATCCACCTATAGAGCTAGTGTACCATTACCTTTTCCAACTTGAATGTTTTCATGGATCATTGGTTCTGTGGTTCATTTCTCTGTCCTCTCAATCCCCTAGTTGCCCTTAAAGAAAGGCCGTTCACACTGAGCCTGGTTCTGTTGGAGATTTTGTTTCTGATAAAAGGGAGTTTTCCTTTCCACTGTGTCTGTAGGTGAGGGATTGCTGCAGAGTCAATGACACATGCCATCTGCTTGGTGTCCTAAGAGCAAACATTTTTCACCAATCTGTTTGAAGTTGACTTTAGAAAATGCTTTAAGATCACATATTGTGAGTTAGCGCTATACAGGTGCTGGTCATAAAATTAGAATATCATGAAAAAGTAGATTGATTTCAGTAATTCCATTTAAAAAGTGAAACTTGTATATTATATTCATACATTACATACAAACTCATATATTTCAGATGTTTATTTTGTTTAATTTTGATGATTACAAATGACAACAAATGAAAATCTCAAATTCATCATATCAGAAAATTAGAATATTGTGAAAAGGTTCAAAATTGATGGCCCCTGGTGCCACACTCTAATCAGCTAATTAACTCAAACCACCTGCAAAAGCCTTTAAATGGTCTTTCAGTCTAGTTCTATAGGCTACACAATCATGGGGAAGACTGCTGACTTGACAGTTGTCCAAAAGACGACCATCGACACCTTGCACAAGGAGGGCAAGACACAAAAGGTCATCGCTAAAGAGGCTGGCTGTTCACAGAGCTCAGTGTCCAAGCACATTAATAGAGAGGCGAAGGGAAGGAAAAGATGTGGTCGAAAAAAGTGTACAAGCAAGAGAGATAACCGCACCCTGGAGAGGATTGTGAAACAAAACCCCTTCAAAAATGTGGGGGAGATTCACAAAGAGTGGACTGCAGCTGGAGTGAGTGCTTCAAGAACCACCACACACAGACGTATGAAAGACATGGGTTTCTGCTGTCGCATTCCTTGTGTCAAGCCACTCTTGAACCACAGACAGCGTCAGAAGCGTCTTGCCTGGGCTAAAGAGAAACAGGACTGGACTGCTGGTGAGTGGTCCAAAGTCATGTTCTCTGATGAAAGTAAATTTTGCATTTCCTTTGGAAATCAAGGTCCCAGAGTCTGGAGGAAAAGAAGAGAGGCACTTCATCCACGTTGCTTGAAGTCCAGTGTAAAGTTTCCACAGTCAGTGATGGTTTGGGGTGCCATGTCATCTGCTGGTGTTGGTCCATTGTGTTTTCTGAGGTCGAGGGTCAACGCAGCCACATACCAGGAAGTTTTAGAGCACTTCATGCTTCCTGCAGCTGACCAACTTTTTGGAGATGCAGATTTCATTTTCCAACAGGACTTGGCACCTGCACACAGTGCCAAAGCTACCAGTACCTGGTTGAAGGACCATGGTATCCCTGTTCTTAATTGGCCAGCAAACTCTCCTGACCTTAACCCCATAGAAAATCTATGGGGTATTGTGAAGAAGAAGATGCAATACACCAGACCCAACAATTCAGAAGAGCTAAAAGCCACTATTAGAGCAACCTGGGCTATCATAACACCTGAGCAGTGCCACAGACTGATCGACTCCATGCCACGCCGCATTGCTGCAGTAATACAGGCCAAAGGAGGCCCAACTAAATACTGAGTGCTGTACATGCTCATACTTTTCATGTTCATACTTTTCAGTTGGCCAACATTTCTATAAATCCTTTGTTTTTATTGGTCTTCAGTAATATTCTAATTTTCTGATATGATGAATTTGAGATTTTCATTTGTTGTCATTTGTAATCATCAAAATTAAACAAAATAAACATCTGAAATATATGAGTTTGTATGTAATGTATGAATATAATATACAAGTTTCACTTTTTAAATGGAATTACTGAAATCAATCTACTTTTTCATGATATTCTAATTTTATGACCAGCACCTGTATATAGATAAATTGAATGTAAAATAAGTTATAATAAATAAGGTCTATTCAAATAAATAGTGACCTCCTCTAAGTGCTAATAATGGTCTAACTTTATAGATTTACATTTAATTCAGCTCCCAAAATATCCTGCTAAATCAAACAAGTGTCTGCTTTTATGTGACTGAGTTTGTTTGCGTGTCTGTGGGCTGCAAGTGGTGCAGTATGTTGTACACATTAACCTCACAACAACATTTCATAACCATGTTAGAACAGGGAATAGTGGACAATTTACTACTGCTGAGTTACCATTTGAAAATCTTGTCGTCACAGGTATAACTTTGTGTTCAGATTTTCAGCACTTAGCCTGTACAAGTGTGACTGAGGGTAATATAAGGACTTCATAATGGAAATCAAAGCTTCTTGCTATTGCTGTTGTTACTTACAGTGGGTCAGGGCAATACTGTGGCTGGGGAAGCCTCCTGCCTTTCAATAAGTAATGCGTTATATCATAAGGATCCACCTCTGGGTAGGGGCTCGCACCTCTGGTCAGCATTTCCCACATTAGAACACCAAACGACCACTGCAGAGGAGAAAGCAAATGTTTAACACACATGTACATCTTCAAGACAGACCTTTTTATATTTTGCCACATCATTTTGATGTGAAAGAAAGAGGGCCTATAATTGTTTTCTTTTTTTGGCAAATAAGAATCTGATAAGCTGATCATAAGTTTTTAGACCCTTTTACCCTGATAACACAAAAACATCCCCAATATTCAATTCAACGTGAAAGCAGGTTTGTAATGTCACCAAGTTTTATTTGTAAAAGAATAAAACGCATTCATAATTTTCACTCCACTTCAAAAATGTGCAGTGCTTTGAGGTGTTTTGTCACCTGGTTTTAAACCCCATAATAAACACTGACAGTTGTGGTTGTCACATGGATAAAAGTAACAAAGTTCATTGGGTGTGAATACTTTTATTTTTAAGGCACTGCAGAACTAGGATAAATGTCTACTATAAACAAACCAGTTGGACAAGCCGAATTTAATATTTACAGGTAAGTTATATCCCCTTTATATTGTGTATTTCTCTTATACTGCTCCTATATACTGCCTTAAATCGTGACTAAATTGAAAATTTTTTTATTTTTGCTATATTATTACCTAATAATCGGATACATTTTCATAAGTGAAGAATTTCATATTAGTTTATACATGAGGCTGGTCACCCATTTGTAAAGTGCCATAAGAGTCTGCCATCTTGAAAGTACAGAAGCCAGTGAGAAAAAAAAAAAATAGTACTAATGCATGGAATAACACCGTGTTTCCCCTTGCAGGCAGTTCACTGTGATTGAGAGGCAGCGGTGAAAATCATTTGGAAAGGCAAACCAAACAATGGTGTGCACTACTTGGTGTACTTGGTGTGCACACCAAACGATGGTGTGCACTACTGCAGCACAATGCAAGACAACACTTATGCAGCTGCACAACAAATGGTTTCACCATCCTAAAGAAAATCAAAAAGGAACTAAAAGACAAAAAAATCTGAGACAAAAAAAGAGGATAAACATTTGGGAAGCCTTCTCCAGGTGGGAGCCAAGCTGGATTTTCACGAGATCTGAGTTATCACTCTCAAAAGAACACCATCTTGAAAGACTCCCGCTAATACATCCATCTCGTAACAACCAGCGAATCGGACCAATAACATGCAAGCTGTGTTTTCTGGGCGGAATATGTAGGAATGAGGGCAGTCAGAAGGGCCTTGGCAGGATATTACAAAAATGGCTACACTGGAGGACTCACCTGTCGATACCGCAATTGCTAAAATAGCAACAAATTCTCATTTAAAAAAGGAGCAAAGAGAAGCACTTTGTGCATTTGTAGATGGGAAAGATGTCTGTTCTTTTCTTCCAACAGGATTTGAAAAAAGTTAGATTTATCAGCTTACTGCACTTGTTGTGAAAACACTTAAGAAGCTGCAGACGAATCGTATTGTGATTGCCGTGTCGCTGCAGGTGGCTCTCATGAACGACCAAGTTGCTGAAGGTATTAGGCTGGGTATTTCTGCTATGGAGCTGGGTGACAATGTTGGCGAAGTTCTGATTGGCTGAAAGTGTATTCTGGAAAACAGATACCAGCTGGCACGTCACCCAATCAGCTCAAAGTATTGAACTCAACGTCCCTCCTCTTAATGAATAGACATCCCAGATTGATAACTTTGAACTCAACTCAGTTCCACACATATCAATCTGAATACTACCAGGTTAGGTGGAAAGAGCTAATTAAGGAGGAATAATTTTGACAAGTAGGTGAACTGTACAGCCTAGAATGGCATTAAGCTTACCCTTTCCATATGGTTTAATTAGACAGTGATGCCTGTTACTATAGAAAGTGCAACAGTAGATCCTGCAAACATATACTAATCTTGTTGGTACAGAATTGTAGGGTTATGTGGGTTTAGTAGCTTTCAAAGCTGTGGCGAGGGCTGGCTTCTTTTCAGTAAATGCCAGCTTGTAGAGACTTCACTATAAAAATGGTTATATCTGAGTTGTTGAGGCTTTTTCACAGACGGTGGCTACCGTTGCTGTAATACGTCAGAGATGGGGCATATGGAGTCAGGAAGTCCTCACTACATCCTCGCTATGTAATTGTTCAGCCCAGCCACTGAACCAGATGAATCCAGTCTACAGAGGTTAATTGACTCTGCAGATTGGACTCACTAGGTTCAGCGCCTGGGCTGAACTACCACATCATGTAGAGATGACTTGTTCACTCCATATCCCCATCTCTTCAATATGTGTTTGAGGCAGTGAAAGACTAATATGGGGTTCATTAAAATGAAGAACAACCTAATATCCAAACTAGGTAACAGTAATTATTACAAAAAATCCCTTCAACGTTACATACCACATCTGATTTGGTGGTGAATTTTTGTGTCCGCAAACTCTCAATGGCCATCCACTTGACAGGGAGTTTAGCTTTCCTATGATCCTGAACACTGTAATATTCCTTGTCAAAAACATCTCTGGCCATACCAAAGTCCGCCACCTTCACTGTGTAAGACTCGTCCAACCTAAAGGCCGAGAAGTGGAATTATATTACAACATAAAATCTCTTGATTAACTTAATTAAAACACTTGTCAAAATTGGATAAAAGTGACTGATATTTGCTGCTTACATGCAATTGCGTGCAGCAAGATCTCTGTGGACAAACTTCTTTGTTGCTAAATACTCCATCCCTTTAGCAACCTGCAGCCCAAAGCCGATGAGGTCCTTTACAGTCGGGTTCTATAGAAATGCAAAAAAAGAAAACTGTTATTCATTAGGGAGCTAACACAAAGATGTATGAAAGCAGATTGGTAAATTCTATCATGCAATGCAGATATCGCACCCTCTTCTCACAGCGTATGAAGTGCCGCAGGTCTCCATGTTTCATGTATGGAAGCACCACTAGAGGGAGCCCTTCCTGCGGCAGGAAGATTCCCAACAGAGAAAGAACATTGGTGTGGTGGAAACCCTTCATTATGATGCCTTCCTTCAGAAACTGCTCCACCTCTTCGACATCTGTTATTCCTGATGAGTAAAAAACAGTTTTAAAACCCAATAGACATTACAGAATCACAGACAATTTGTTCAACAGGATTACATTTCTAGTGCTTTCCTTTTGGATTAAAATAAACAGTTAAAAAGCAAACTTAACTATTTAGAGACTTGACAGCACAGTGCATTTCTCTGTTGTTGGAGTCTGTTAAGTAGCCATGATAGACAGTTCCAAAATGGCCTGCATGGAAGATGACAAAACGAATTAGAAATGATGAATATTTTTCCTCTGAGGTCCAGATTTCATGAGTTAACAAATTCCTACCCTTCCCAATGATCCGATGATGCTGCACTATAAGCATCTCAGCTGGAATAAGAACATCTTTCACCTCTTCCAGCAACTCTGGTGTAAAGCTGGAGATAGAGATCTTTTCTGTTTGCATGAGGGGGGTGAGTGCTGGATCTCTGCCACATGCAGAGTATGCCAGGCCCCGAAAAACCACCGGCCCGACCAAAGGCGTGGGGGGACTCAGGGATACGACTGGTGAAAGTACAGACACAGAGGAGAATTAGGTAGGTGTATGCAGCTCTTTTTATGAGTGCATTTTAAGTTTTATGTTGTTTTCATAACTACAACATTCAGAAATAAAATATTTTTACATCAAAAAAGGCAGCTGATTAAGATTACACCACAATACAATCCAAAGTAAAACATAACTTTGGGGTTTGGCAGAGAATGGTATATGGTTTTAAAACTTTTCTAAAATAAAAACCTGTACAGTGTGGCAGTGACAGCATCATTATGCGGGGGAACTGAGCATTGAATGAAACCTTGATTTATGAGTGAGGCTAAATGAGCCACCCAGAACCAGTGATTTAGATCAAAGTCTTTTCAAGATTTAAAAGTAGATGTTCACAAATACTCTTAAGCACATGAAATTAACCAATGAACCAATTTAATTAAGAAGAACAACAAAACCTACTAGACTTCTTAAGCCAAAAATCCAACATAGTTTAGACATGACAACTACAAGTGCACACTGTTCAGATTTTAAACAGTCTCAAGGACAAAAAATTATAAAAAAAAAAAAAAGAAAGAAACTGGTGTTTGTAATCTTAAAAAAGTTTAAGGGGTGTGAATACTTTTGCAAGAAAATGTGATAGTCACCTCTCCTGTAGTCTCCGATGGGAGACAATTCCACAGTGTTTGTTGTTGAGCGGTTTGCACCGTGGGCCAAACGGTTTTCTATCATTGTGGCTGAAACATATTACACAACACTGTTATTTTTAATCGTCAAACTCCCAAAAAGAGGAGCACACCTACATCCGGTTACAAACTTAAGATGTTCTAGTTGAAAGACTTTTGTTAGCCATTTAAGATTCCAATCCATTCCAGGTAAGTATTACGCAAACAGCTCTGATCAAGGTCCAAACAGGGGTCCTCACCTTTCTTCTTCTTCCTTAAATGTTTCATCACGACAAAGGCCAGCACCGCTCCAGCCACCAGAGCCGCCAGGATTCCCAGAACTATTCCCACCATGTAGTGGTTGTTGACCCTTACCACTGTGCCAACATTGTGAACCTGCCCATTGATGGAGATCTGGAACACAGACACACAGCGGAATACTATCATCTTAACTGAGAATATATTTCTTATTTTATTTTATATCTCGTATTACAGTGTTCAAATCATTTAATAAATTGCCATGTTTTCTGAAGAATAACAGAAGACTTACAAATACTGTATAAGACATAGAAAACAACATGCTATTTTTCAGAGGTTTTGAAAAGGGATTTCTACAAAATTATAGTCATGGTCCCAGAAACGAACACCCTCAGTTAATTAGGGCTAAACACACATGATCAGGAGCCTCATGGAAAAAACTTTGACAATTTTCCACACAAACATAGGCAATAGTGGGGACGGTTGCAATTGTTTTTAACTTTTCCCTCAATTTCTCACAGGCTTTTTATATTTGAATGACAAAGTCAGAATTAAAATCAAGTTTATTTACGAGTAGGTTTGCACAAAGAATTTGACTTGGTGTTGATGGTGCAGACAAAATAGATATATATCTATTATTATTATTATTATTATTATGAATATTATTATTATCATTATTGTATCTTAACGCAATACTCACATCTGTCCCATACACACCCATACAAGTGCATCATCATTAGAAGCCTGATGTAAAGGAAGTAATGTGGTTGAACAGAGATAGTCAGATGTGGTTGCACCAGTCAGAAGGGAAAGTTCCAACAGCAATTTAAACTCATTTATCAAATAAAACACATTTTTCATCAAACTATTTTTTTTATTATTATTATTGATTTATTAAAATATTTTACTACCAGTTTATTTGACTATTTGTCCTTTTCCTGTCTTGTGGTATATTTGGAAAAAGAAAAAAGTTGTGAAGATGTAGGGTATCCCACAACTCAGATTAACCCTTTACAGATCTACCCATACTTATTCTATCAGGGTTGTGATGCTTTTCTCTGGCAGTCTATGGGCGAGAGGCGGGGTACACTGTGGACAGGTCACCAGTTTGTCGCAGGGCAACACAGAGACACACAAAGACTCACACCTAACAAGAATTAAGAGATGCCAATTAACCTAACAGTTGTGCTTTTAGACTGTGGGAGAAAGTCGGAGTATCCCGAGAAAATCAACACATGCACAGGGACAACTCTATGCAGAAAGACTTTCATTTATTTATAAAGATGGATCGGTGCATCTCTATTTATCAGTCACATCTTCACCATTGTGGTTATAGGGCTGTGTGCTAAGCCCGTTTCTCTACTCTCTCTCCACCTACGACTGCAAGCCTGTGAACACGTCTAATTCCATCATCAAGTTTGCGGACGATTGGTCTCATCAGCAACAACGATGAGACTGCTTATACGGAGGAGATCGAGCACTTGGCCACATGGTGCACTGAAAATAACCAGCTCCTCAAAACCACCAAAACGAAGGAGCTCATCATAGACTTCAGGAAAGATTCAACAGTTACCCACGACACCATCCACATCAATGGAATAGCTGTTGAACATGTCTCCAGTTTTACGTTTCTGGGGACCCACATCTCAGCGGACATGTCCTGGTCAACCAACACCTCTGGCCTGGTCAAGAAGGCTCACCAGCGCCTCTTCTTCCTGAGGACACTGAGAAGAATCAGCTCCCCTCAACTATTCTTGTGAACTTTTATCACTGTGCAATAGAAAGCATCCTAACCAACTGTGTAACAGTGTGGTACGGAAGCTGTTCTGTTGCAGAGTGCAAGGCACTGCAGCGGGTGGTGAAAGCCACCCAGCACATCACTGGAACTTCACTACCCATCATTGAGCACATCCAGAAGAAATGCTGCCTACATCGAGCCCGCAGCATTCTTAAGGACTCATCCCACCCAGCCCACAGACTGTTTTCTCTCCTGCCCTCCGGCAGGCGTTACAGGTACCTCCGGACCAGAACCAGCAGACTAAAGAACAGCTTTTTTCCCCAGAGCTGTCTCTTTACTGAATTCTAACCCTCACGGATAGACTCTACTCTCCTTCCTCACACCAACCACCATTTTGCTATTCTGTTTTTTACAAGACTGTAATGTTCACCTGCACTCCTGACTGTTACTATTGTAACAACTGTTTACATGCATATTGCACTACTCACTTTGACTGAATATTGATTTGCACTGCCGACTGTTTATTCACAGCACCAATTGTTTACATTTACATCTGCAATAACGTACGTTAACTGTAATATGCAATTACCTTCCACTGCACTTTAACTTAGATAGCTTCCGTCCAAACTTTATTTATTCTTTTTATAGTAAAACCCATCTGTATATGTATGCTATTGTATATCTGTATATATGCTATTGTACATAACTGCAAAAACCCTTTTTATAGTAATATCCACCTGTATATTATATTCGGTACATATCCAGCTGTAAATTTAGTTCATAACACTAGTTATCTATATATTATATCGATCTACTAGTAAGATTCTGTTTATAATGGTATTCATCTCAATATTTATTTAGTAGAACCCATGTCCTGTATTTATAGAACCATTATTTATCCTGCACTTGCTGCTATTGAACTTCTGGTTAGACCTAAACTGCATTTTGTTGCCTTGTACCTGTACCTGTGCAATGACAATAAAGTTGAATCTAATCTAATCTAATCTATATTTGCAGTAGTGTGTTGCAACCTTTGCCCTAACTATCCACTTGATACTAGCTATGCTTGCTTAAAACAATAGTTTTGCCCCATGGTGTCTATATTCTAACTAAATAACTGTTAAGTTGTTTACAGACAGTATGGATGAGATCAGAAAAAAGGCAGTAATATCATCTTTATGTATATATTTTTTTTTGCCTTTGTATCAAATGAGCATACTTAAGATAATAATATGATTAACATTATGACACATCCCAACTGAAATTGACAGTGCGGGTGTTTCTGATTCTGATAAACCTTCACAGATAATTAAAACCGATCTTAACAAAGTATAGGACTTAGGATTTGAGTCATTGGTGTTGTGAATAAATGCAGTGGTGAAGGGATAAGGTGACGCTAAGGTTTAAACTTTAAGTATGTTTGCTGACAAAAATGATTAAAATCTAAATTTAAAGGAGCATTAGGGTTGCATAACTGTAGTTTGACATGCAAAAAAGAAATGTCAGTTGATCTGTTCTGTTGACAACACGACTGCATAAAATCTGATTTTGCAATATCAACCAAAAAACTGCTTGGTGGAATATTCTCATATCCAGGAAGAAGTCTTTACATGGAACACCTTTATGTGCAACACTGAGAATTATATGGGACACAGGTGACGGCTGGCAGCAAGTCACTACTTTGAACAACTGACCACGAGGACACGCAGCATTACTGTCGCTCTCTGTGCCACAACGACGGGTGAGTGGTGGGTTTATATCGGCTTTTTTTTTTTCTATTTCTTAAGGGCCACAACCCCACAAGTCAAATTATCTTTTCTTCTTCATTCATGGAATCATGGCAAGAGGAAGATGTAGGGATTTGCCACGAGAAACATAGGAAATTTGTATTTTCAACCAAAAGAGCAGAGAGTCCGTTCAATTCACAGTATATGCATAGTACGCCCTACTCTGTGGGAGCCTTTACTCTTTACTTCATCCTTTGGTGACTCTTATATAGACTGAAGAAGGGACTTAATGTTTCTAATGAACATAGGATAGTGAAGGGCCATACAATCTAGACAAAACCCTACTTCATAAAATCCTTTTAAGTATATTACCAACAGCCCTAATCCTGGACCTTTATCACGCTTAAAGCTTAGTCAAAGGTCAAATAACATCTAGAGGTAAAGGAACAGTAAGTAAAAAATGCACTGTATAATTACTCTAAATCATTCTGATTTTTCACCAGAGAAGTAACATTCCCTAAAAACAATCTGCCCTCTCCATCAAAAATGTCTGAGGCTGTGTCTGAACGTCCACCCTAACCCCTCAATCACTATATAGACTATATAGTGGGCTTATAGTGAACTCAGTTAACTGACCGGTTGGACAGATTACTACTTTTTCCTCCCCTTTGGTCATGTGACTATGGCTCTCTGTACAGTGCCGGCACCAATCGTTGTTCTCTTTCGCACCCGAAACAAATCCCATGATGCTTTGCGAAGAAAGCTCATGCTAAGCATTTAAGGATATATCTGTCCATCTAGTGACCATGGATGCACACTACTTTTCAAGGTGCATTGTGGGAAATTTTGAGTCCACCATTTTTTTGTCCTCTAGACATTTGGACATTCATAAAGGGGTGTAACCCCTATATAGTGCTCTGTGTAAGAGTTAGGGCCGATGTTCGGAATAAGCCTTAGTCAAGTTTTTCTCCTTTAAAACTTAAGGGTAGAGTGCGCAACTACTTTGGTACAATATGTAATACGTTTTTAATTCCTGGCTTCTGAGCCAATCATATGAGAGTTATCAGGGTTGCAAAAAAAGAGAACAGCATTTTCTATTTTATGTTGGAAATAGAGCATCAGCCTATAAACATGAGAGCCAATGAGGGAACTAGAGAGACAGTATTAACAAGCCTAGGGGTCTTTCAAAAGTATTTTCCCAATTTACTGTTGTGGAATCGTATTCACTTGTCATCTTGAACTTAGACATCCACATCTCTCCTGACTCAGGAAACAGCAAAACTAAATAATCGAGGAGGAGGGGGAAAGGCACAATCTGTTTGGGTTTTGTTCTCATTTCAAACACTATGCATAATTATTACTTCTGGCTCCTTTAACGAATTATTATTAACGATTGCCTCTATAGAGGTCACATTTACAATATGGTGTTAGTTTCATTGAACCAGATGTTGGGTCAATAAATAAAAAAAAAACACAGCCTGACCAACCTTCACTGGCAGCCCCTCACTGGGAATGGTGATGTTTTTGGGGATCCTGCAGGTTATCTCATTATCCAGGACTTTGGCATCACAATCAACATCCGCTACCGTCATGATAATGGTCATGCAGGAGCTCACCAGGTTTAGCTTTTTATGCTGAGAAACACAAGTCAGATCAATGACTTAAAACGAATAAAATTATATTTCATCATCCTCACCAACCATTTTATTAGGTGCACATGTTTAACTGCACAAGATATGTTCAGCCTTAAAGTAGATGGCTGCAAAGAACTGAAGTTTAAAGAAAATTAAGGACATATGGAAACTGAGGCTGTAAGTTCCACAGGCAAAAACAACAGACTCAATTTTCTGGTCCAGTGAGTCTCAGTTTCAGCTCTGATGTTCAAAGGAAAGCGTTGGGTCAGAAATTGTTATAAACTGCATGAAAACATGGATTTCTGGATGTTTACCCATTAAACTGTTTTTGTTCTAAACATATACACACATACATAGGGGTCCAACCCATGCTGAAGTGTACCTTCTGTGGCAGCCATTAAGCATTTAATTACAATTGTAATAGTAATCACAACAGATAAGTTAATCACTTACATGAAGGGATACTTCATCAAACCCTGGATACAAACTGAGCACATGTCCTTCTGTTTCAAAGGGAATGGGTTCTCCATAGGGATGATAGGAGAACTCTTTTCTCCAAAGGCCCAGGGCTCCATCCATGTCAAAAGACAGCAGTCCCTCTTCACTCTCATCTCTATGGAAGACTGGAGTGATACATTCCATCCGCGTGGGCAGCGACTTACCAATGCACTCCTAGAGCAAAAGACTTGAGCTCTTAGTCAATAGTTTCAAAGATATTGAAAAGGTTGATTTAGGAGTGTTTTTAAATAACTTATGTACCCCTGTTACTGCTTTTAGGTGGCTCTCATTGGGTTTAAAGCGAATTATGGTGCGGTAAACTGAGTCAAGGTTCTCTCCTTCAATCAAAATCTTTGATCCTCTAAATTCAGACAAAAGAAAAAAAGATCTACAGTTACTTTTTCAAAGACATAATACAATACAGTTTCACAGTGTCCATTTTTGTCTCTGTGTGGCCTAACCTGTGAAAGCTGCAGTCCGGTAGTACGCCTGTAATCCTTGGATTTTCTTTGTAGTAAAACACCTTTGTGGTGCGCACCGGAGATTTGTCGATGAAAACATTCAGTGGAACATCCCTTACTTCTGAGATAGGCTGTGACAAGCAGATAATAGATGAAATCTGGTTTGTGATGGATTTGGACCTACAGAGACAAAAATAAAAAGTGTATGGATTTGATATTTTAGGCAATAAAATGGAGCAAGTTTAAAAAAATGTCCAAGTCATTCGGTAAAGGGTACAATAGAAGGAGTTGAGTCATTCTCCCTCCTCAGCAAGAAAATTTGCAAATAGAGATTAAAACATTGGTCAAAAAAACATTAAAGCTACCCTGTTAGATTGCAGCAATAAAAATGTAAGAACGACATTTCCTCATTCAAACCTCTATTGAGTAGGGCAGCAATTAAAAGTCATAAACGGTTTTTTGTAAAGAATGTCTGTTAAAAACTCGGAATCAGTTAATATCTAACTCACAATAGATAACGTCGTTATATCATAGTTTTTTATCAATCCAAACGAAGGCTAATGTCTCTTTAAAGGACCCAAGATGCAATTGTGTTAAAACAATTTTGAAGCAAAAAATTTGCAATAGGGATTTTTACTAAATTTACCGTACATACTTCTAACAATTGGCATGTTTGCAGTTGTCAGTTATTAACACAACACGAACAGTACTAAGGATCTTGGTTAGTTTAAAATATACTAGGAAAGAAACGTGTAAAGCTCTTCCAGTCTAAATAACAATCTAATACACATTCATATTCTTATCTTGGTTGTTTTATTGTACACTGGAATGTTATTGGTGGCAGAAGGCCTGCTTCCACTCCCTTCATAAATAAGCACAGGTTTCTGTTTAAGTGACAGCTCCAAAGCAAAAGTAAAACTGGTTTCAAGGTGCCTAGTAACATACTGTACTATGCCCTTACAAATGTTTTCACTAGTAGCTCAATGCAGTTGAGTACAAAGGGCTTCCAACCAAACCACTGCACCCTAATGGCTAATTTTACGCTTTTTTTGTGCTTTTTTTGATAGTAAACAAAGTGCTCTGTATATATTTACTATAGCAATACCACATTACCAGAGTTACAAAGTTGTGCATGCACATAGAGAGAAAACAAGGAAGCCATATAATTCCTATGGGTGAAGGAATTAAAAATTGGGAGTCAGTGGAGGTGTGAAAAGAAAGAAAATGTCCAAGATCAAGTGTGAAAAAGCCTGTAAAAAATCGGATGCAAAGAGGGATAAGATACCTTTTTATAGGGCAGGGTACATCATTAAGAGTGACTCTTCGAGTCTTTCCAGCATCCAGGTGGAACCCCGTCATTGTGATGAGTGTTCCTCCAACACGGGGTCCATAATTGGGCAGGATTTCTGTGATGTTGGGAACCTAAGGGGGGGTGGGGGGGGTGATCTTTTAATATTTTAGTTACTGTATAAAAGTTATTTTCATGGTCAAAATGAGCATTAGCATTACCACAAATGTGAACCCTGGTATTTCAGCTTTCCCATCAATAGAGTAGCGGCCCTCCACCTTGCCCTCATGCACCTCCACAGTAATGCTGATTGGCTTAAACAGCTCAGTGGCTCCAGAGCGAATCTTACACACTAAACTGAAAGAAGCAAAAGACACCTTAATAACCTCTTGTCACCAGAGCAACCAGAGCTTCTTTAGCACTACTTACAGTATAACTCTAAGCTATTTCCATAGTACTGAAATGAGGACATTTTATGTGCAATTCTGCATGGACTTTCTAGTCCAACAGCATATTGTTTATATGAAAAATGTATTTCTTGAATTTCTATGGTAGTTTTAGACTAGATAAAAAAAAAAAACATTGTACCGTAGAGAGTAGGACGCCTACAGTATGGCATCTGTGTGTGAAAATTGAATTCTATATAAGCAGGGCAAACAACAAACACAAACATTGCAATTAAAATATGATTATTCTTATTTTATCCTGTTGGGGGAAAGCAAAGCTCCATTGTTTTATTTTGAGTGAAATTTGCCTGCACAAAGTAAAAATGAAATCAATTAGAGAATCTCGCCAGAAGCATAGGAACTGGCAATAGCAACCTTGCAAAAACCTAACCGGTAAATTTTTATTACTATCTAAATGATATTATATTATGCATTGTATTATCATAGAGTGTTGCCAGCAGTATAAATACACCTCACTCAGGCCTAGAGTCGTCTACTAAGCAAGGTTACTTACTGTGTGCTGTTGCTTTTGAGTGGGATCACAGTGCAAGCAGTCTGTCCCAACCGGACCTGGTGGGTTCTGGAGGTGATAGCAGGTCTTATGGGTGACTGGAACTCCCATCCACACACTGTTAGCTCTGTTTGTCCATCAGGGGGAGCAGTCCTTGGAAAAAACTGTATTAATAACAGAAAATATGACGTTAGTATGCATTGGTTAAAGGATAATTCCGTTTTTTAACACTTTTAGCCCATTTTCTGTAGTGTCCAGGATGAAATCGAATGATCGACACCAAAATTTTGACAATTGGTCCTGTCTCTGCTTTTTGGCTCATGCAGAATCCCCCCCTGGGTGCTTCAGAATGGCTTCCATAGTGCATGTCCGATAATGTCCTTAAAACAACCTTAAACGTTCTTTTTTTAAAATATGCTACTCACCGGGTCGTCAGCGCTGTTCAATGACGTTCCAAAAAAAGTTTCGTGAAGAAAAACCGTTCCTGTCTTGTTTTATTTAGCATTTTGTAAATCCCAGAACTATTTTTTCCGATACATCACAACCGCTTATAAACTTCCGCTTCCGGTTCGAATCTGAAGCGTTGCACACTCCAGACCACTAGTTGGCGACGGTATCCTCTACCGTCAAACTCAAAGTCCAATATGTCCTCCTCAAGAATCCACCTTTCGTATTCCATTTTCAGAGTTTTTTAAAGTGTTTAGCAGAGACGTTAGCACCTCGACGTCGGAGTACACAGAGTGAAGCATAAACACTTGGGCCTTGCGAAAAGACTACAACTAAGGGTAAACAGGCCCCATTTCCGTTTCCGGTGGCGGAGGGATATTGACTATTCCAACAGAACTCAATGGGATTTACAAAATGCTAAATAAAACACTACAGGAACGTTTTTTCTTTACGAAACTTTTTTTGGAACGTCATTGAACAGCGCTGACGACCCGGTGAGTAGCATATTTTAAAAAAAGAATGTTTAAGGTTGTTTTAAGGACATTATCGGACATGCACTATGGAAGCCATTCTGAAGCAGCCAAGGGGGGATTCTGCATGAGCCAAAAAGCAGAGACAGGACCAATTGTCAAAATTTTGGTGTCGATCATTCGATTTCATCCTGGACACTACAGAAAATGGGCTAAAAAGTGTTAAAAACCGGAATTCTCCTTTAAGGCAGGGTTCCCAAAGTGAAGGTCAGGATCCCCCGTGAGTTTTCAAGACACCTAGTGGAGGATCACCAATGATTTTAGGAATTGTCAGGGTGCCCTGACATGTATAGAGGACCATTAAGGAAAAGAATACATTTATAGGGAATAAATAAATGTAAATATCTAACAAAATACAAAATATTAGTTTTTAATACATTAAAGAAACTAATTAAAAGTATTTCATATACAGCACTAAATTAAGACGCATGGAATATTTAACTACATTTTAAATAATGAAATGAAATAATTAAATTATTTCTTTCTTTTTAAATTAATTTCAAAAAACATATATAATTTATGGTGTCAAAAAATTATATATTTTTTGGTGGTTGAAAATGGGTGGTAGAAAAAGAGGCATCATTATGATTAGATCAAAGAGTGAACCTCACCCCACTGATCCCAGGAGGACAGGATTCGTTTCTCCAGCGGCCCTGACACTCGCTCTCCCATGAACACACTCCGGAGCACCAGCCACAGCCCATGAACTTTGGGGCCGTCAGACACACTGCACAGGTCATGAAGTGCTGACAGCCGGGACCTGTCTGGGGTACCTGAATCATCTAAACAGTGAAATTATTTGGCAAATTAAATGACTGCTCAATTCTGTAATATTTATATTTAGAATTGACTCATAAATAGCTTAGTTTTTTAATATCCTCTTTTTGGTTTAAGAAATAATGGGACTGTAGAAGCTGCTACATGCTTTTGTAGGCTTGCAATTAGATTGAAATCACTGTGGAGCCATAAACTCAGAGAACGAACAGTGGATGGACTTTCTGTTTTCATGTTTCCAGACAGGGTGCAGTGTCCCTGTAGAACAGGTCCTGGCTCCAATTATGGCCTCTTTGCTAAAGAAATAATACTAAAACAATTTCTTATGATGACATGCACATGCAAAATAGACCATATCTGATTGATCCCTTGGACTGATTTAATATTTTACCTTTATAGTTCACTCTAACAATTATATAGAAATCCATTTTAAATTTAACAGGACCAGATGTGTGAGACATATTTTAACCTAAAGAAAGCTTAGTCTATTCTGAGTAGAAAAAAAAACAAAAAACAAATCTAATCCCTTCACGTATTATTTATTATAGACAAGGTTTGAAAGAAAAGATGAAATATGAAATAAATATGGGTTTTTGTTGTTTTTTTTCTTTAAAAAGAAAGCTGTTTATGGTGGATATACAATGTTACTTTGTATGGTTTTACTTACAACCAATTTTGAAAAAAGACTGACATTTTTTCTGATTGTTCACCTTTTCTGTGTTTCTCTATTATTATATCTTAGCCAAGCTTTATTGAGATTAAGCTAAGTAAGACCGGTGTAGCATTTGAACTGGTAGCCACTTTAAATATCCATCTACACAGACACTTCATTGTCAAAACATTTGCAGAGTTCTAAAATTACACAGCTCAGCTTGTAATAAAACCTGACTGGAATGTTTAAATCACTCAAGCAAAGTTTTACTCCTTTTACTTGAAAGCTCAATTAAGTAGGAGTCATACCTCCTAAATGCATGCTTGACCAGAGAAACATTCATAGGCAGTGCACTTGTACCTTATCTCCAACTACAAAAAGTAGATACTCTGAAGAGTACACAGCAGCAACAGAAGACACCCTCTGGTTCTCTACCAAGGAGTAATTGGCAAAGATTACTGGGCTTGATCTTGTTAACACAAGCTGCAAACACAGACAGGACAAAAAAATAAGTAGATTAGAGACAGTAAAGAAAACGCTAAATGCACAAAGATTTGTTGTCCTTTGTAAGGATTATATCTTGGTTTGGAACATACCTTAAAGTAACACTTCAGACGGAATGAGACTTTAAAAAAGGAAGGACTTTCTGATATCAAGAATTACTTGTTACTGAGATTTACTTGTGAATGATTATTAGAACAAAATAAACAGAACAAATATAACACAAATATTACTAATTCTATATAAGTACAGATTAAAGCTTCTTTGACTGTTGAATGAATAAGCAATATCTTCCAGAAGGAATTTAGAGTTCATTTAGTAGCTTTTAAGTCTATTTCTTCATTCTAATCTACACTGTAATTTAAATTTAAATAAAAAAAATATGGAATCTGACTAAGATTGGGAACCAGCTTTAATCCATTAACTTTTACAATAACAAGGAAAAGGATTTCATTCGGAATCATTCACAGAATCAGCTTCATATTTTCATCTTTGTGGTCAGTCATCCTGGGTAAATCTGGACACAGACAGCATTTCAAATTGTCCGAAAGACTCTTTAAGACCATCTATGATCTCTGACCCAGCTTGTTTGACAAACAGTGTTTCCACTTTGACTCAACTCGATGACAAGAATTGAGGTTGAAAGCTCTCAAGATAACTTCATATGATTCATTTGATGGAGGAAAACAAAAGGACATAAAGAATGATGCACTGTGCATGGTGCAAACAAAAATAAAAAGAACACATACAGATCTGAAAATGTCGACCAGTCCTTTCTAAACAAGTTGGGTACGCTGATTTGATGGCATCTAGAATTTGATCTAAATCAATAGCATGCCTTCTCTAAGGAGGAGGCACAATAAGGAACTAACCACTCAGGAGTGGACTTGGGGGACCATGTGAGAGCTGTGTCATATATGCAGCCATAAAATAATATGCAACCTTCAAAATGATAGAGGGCCTCCAAGTTTCCGAATACGATTTACGATATAATAGCCCATGAAAAAGACTCTTTTTACAGTTCTATCTTTCAAAAACATGAAACTAGTACTGTACATTGAAAAGGGATACAACATTGGCATTCAATATGAATACATCAGTCAAAATCTTCAGTTTATATTAATTAAAGCTGTCAAAGTTCAAAGTTAAACATCACCTGTTTATCTTAGCATATACATGTATCATCTTACAATACCTCAAAATTAAGAGCTCCTTATTTGGTGACTGCCTTAAACCTGCAGATTTTCTGTTGAAAGAGTCATCAAATTGACTAACTGTAAATTTTGCAGTGTCAATGTACATTGAGACTGTATATTTAACACTGAGGAATTACCTCCACAACTTTCAAACCCTCTTATGTGCAAAAAATGACAGACCTGATAAATACAATTCATAATGATTATCCTTTAGTAAAGATATTAGAAATTGTACACCCTGTTTTTGGGATATACAGCTTTGGTACGCCCTAATTTCCCCCCGGAAGATGCTGATATATCTAATGTCCCTATAGACAACTTCATTCATGATTAATATATCATATAAAACATTGTAATTTGCAAGCATTGTTATTTTTGTTGGACAAGCACACTGGGCTGTTTGCAAGCAGGTAAGCTTGAAACTTTGAAAAGGTTACTAAAACTCATTGAATGCCTGCTGGCTATATAATTATTTCTGAAGGTTTTTTTTTTTTTTTGTTCTTCGGGACAATAATGTCCGTGGAAAGGGGGGAAACAAGAGCTAACATAAATGACAACAGAGGAGTGGGGTGCGATCAGTACTAAATCCGTAGCAAGTGTCAAACAGATGCTGCAATTTTTCATGGTTCTTCAAGATAATTAGTCTTTATTTCCAAAAGATCGATGAATGGATCCAGTTTGTGGATAACGGTGCATTTATTTGGCCCTTTGAACATTTCCAACTGGTATATCTACCCTTTGACACAACACACTTGCTTCTGTAACACATCGGCTTACATTTTCAAAATGTACTAAGATACATGCAAATGTGACAATCATGTTTCAGAATTAGTTTCAGTGTCAGCTGTATTATTAACAGAGTAGATACACAGAAATAAAAGCAATCCTGGCTGCCCTTTCTCCTCCGTTGCTTTGCAGATTGTGCTGTAGTATTTGTAGACTGCTTTTCAGTTTGTCAGTGTTCAACTTGTTGTATATGTAACCTATTTTATGACCCCTTAAATTAAGATGAGCAACTGCAACAGAGCTTAATGCCGTTTAAAGCTCCACATATCCTCTCTCTGTAACTGCATGGTATCTGCCTTCTGTGTAGCAGCAGCAGTCCCTGAGCTCTCCTTCTATGTCCTCATCATCAGTTCTGCATGTTCTGTGTTGTGGTTTAACCTGTAGTGCTAAAGTTGTTAGGTTGCAACAAATTCTCACTGTTTTTCCACAAACATCACAGGTCATGTTTTGGCTATTAGCAGAGCTAAGATAACTGCTTATAAGCCATTTTTATGATCTGCCACTGTTTGTTTGAGGCACACAACACGCAGTGCTTGGCATTAAGTACTGACAGATTACATACTTACCAGGCGGAAGAAAAGTAGTTCCCATCAAATGCCAACATTTAGGCAATTTTCTAGTAAACGTACAGTACTTAAATGACTATAGTATTAAAAGTGTTTAAATATGAAACAAGAAATCGAATTTAGTGCCTAAAATTCTATTATTAAAATTTTTGTATCACAGTATGTGCATGCATTTGTTTAAGAGTGAGAAACTTAAAGTGCGAGCGTCTGCACTTAATGAAATGTGTGTGCCACATGGCAAGAACCAGTGGAAACTGCCTGACGGGTTGGTGGATGGAACAAAATGGCAAGTCAGGTAGATAAGGATGAGGAAGGCTGCACGACAGTTTCAAATGAGATAGAGAGAGATAGAGGAAGTGAAACAGGAGAAAGGCGGTTTGAGAATCAAGTAAATAAAGCAGTTCAGATTAAAAAAGATTTTCAGAGAAGAAATAAGAAAAATATTTAGATTCAGTGCTAAAGATAAATAGAATCATTTTAGCCCCATTTTGATTTACAGAGAAATAATTAAGAAATTGGGGAAGTCGAATTAGTGAGAGATGGAAACTTATTGGGAATTTGCAATAATGAGGAGGAAAACAACAAAGCATTGGATGTTGAAAACTAAGAGAGGTCTTAGAGATAAAAGTCATAGGAGAGAATAAAACAGTGAAAGGAGTGATAACAGGAATAGTAATTCACAACGTTTTAGATCGATTAAAGATGAACATTTTTGGAGGCTATGTTAACATGATACAGAGCCTTTATAAAAACATACAAGGGGAAAGGGGGGCAAGCAGAATCATTGCCAGATGAGCTTTTGGGACTCAATGAAGGTAGCCGGAATATATATATATGGTTGGAGATGGAGGGAAGAACATACAACAACAAGCATCTTCAACATATAAGTTTTAAGATTAGAATTGTGTAATTTGGATCTGACAATACTGGTCAAAAAAGTTACATTAAGTCTTATGTCTTGTGTCTAACATAATTTGTCTTGTCGTGAGATTAATATATCATAAAAAGAATTGTAATTTGCAAGCATTGTTATTTTGCTTGTTGTTGTTTTTTTTTCTGCAACATACCTGAAGTAGACGTCCAGTTGAGGTACCAATGTGAGCAACAGTTTTGTTCTCGATAGTTGTCACCAGGAGAGAGGTGAGCAGGATGTTTGTCATCTGTCTGTTGAAGAGGTCCACTCTATAGTAAGGCTTTGACACCATGGTAGGATGGTCCTTACATGTGGCATTGTTTTCCATGCTCTAGAGCCACCATCAGAGGAGGAACAGAGAGGACACAGTGAAGCAAAAAGACCCTTATGATCTTTACTTGATATGCTGACAATTTTTTTCAGCAGACAGTCTAAAAAATATGTTCTATCCTATGGAAAGAACAAGTCAGATATACTGGAGTTGCTGTTTTCAAAATAAAATATTGCATGAGATAACAAAATCCATCATTTTCACAGCTAAATAAAAAAAAAAAAAACATCTGCTCCTAAAGACTATGGTGATACTTGCACGCAGCTGGTCATAGGCAATAAAATAACATTTATTTATTTATATAAACATTACAGCTTAACAGCAGCTTCCATCAGCTTAGTCAGCTTCATTACAATTATGTACCGTACTGTTCAACTTCAAGATTTGATCTTTAGAAAATGACAGATGTATTCAGCCTCGGCTGTTTTAAGATGGGGACATGAAGCACGGTGCTCTCATCACCAAGGTGACCACTGGAAAAGGACCCAACAGACCAGATGCACTGGATGATAATATGATTATCTAATACTTTAACGAGCTGTGATAGATGATAACATGATGCGTTATCTGACAGAGAGATATTCTCACAGACAACAAAAAGCACGAGTAAAATCTTTGCTTGGAAGAAAGAAACTTATTTAACATAGAAAACAGGTCAGTGTTTATTTAAAAAAGAATCAAAGAAAGCACCATGTGAACTTTTTATAAACTTCTTTTTTTTTAAGTCTCAGTGAAGCATTGTTTTCCTAAATTCCAATCACTTTATTACAATTTATCAAGAGAAAAATAGTCGATGTTTCCCAGGAACATGCAACATTTTGGGGACCTATAGATACTTGTTGGGACAAATGACTGTTCCCCATGCGAAGACATTTTCTTCTTTCAGTCAGGGTTAAATTTATGACCGTTGTGTGAATGGGCTCTATGCACAGCTCCACTACTTCCTGAATTTAAGGCAGCTCCTTTGTTTCCTGTCTTTCATTACTGGACGAACTGATTAATCCAGGTGTGTCTGGCCAGTTACTTAGGTCATACACACCTGGATTAATCAGTGCATCCAATCATGAAAGACAGGAAACAAAGGAGCTGCCTTAAATTCAGGAAGTAGTGGAGCTGTGCATAGAGCCTATTGAGGTTTGTTTCAGTTTCAATTACACAAACTATGTACCTTGGTTGCTGTAGCAACACTGGTATTTAAAGACTACAATAAAGAGATTTTAGAGTGGCTTTTACCATATTAGGAGAACTTTGGTCTCCATTTCCCTTTTTTTATTTTAACACATTGTTGTCCAGTCTTTGTACCTAACCATGAAAACATATTGTAGAGTTTGTGCTTAAAAAGATAAAGTATGGAGCAGATTATGATCAAAGACAACGTTTAGGACCTAAAAACTGCTCTAAAGCTGATTTTTTTTTAGAGAAAAAGGTGTCTTGTTTCTTGTTCTCCAGCTAATTATATATATTATATCAAGATTTCAACTCTTCATGGTAAGTTGCCAACACAGCTAGTAGCAAGGTAAGATATTGTTCTTTGCTATGTGTAAATACAACAATGTTTCATCCCTTCATTTTATGAGCTTTTTTATGCCTGACTGTTTTATAGGTCTGAATTAAGTGAATAAACAAATGATTATATTCTAAAAGTAAAAAAAAAAGATTCTATCTTAAAAATCCACCAAAGCCAATCTTATATAATCCTAAATATAATATAACATAATATAATATGGTATTGTATTGTATTATATTATATGAAATTATATTATATTATATTATAAAAAAATAAATCTTATAATTCTGACAGTAGTGTTGAAATATTGTGACAATGATACATTTTTATTAAGGGTGCCTGAAACCCCCAAAAATTGACATTACTTTTGGTATAATTAATTCTCATGTTTTCTCCATTTTTCTTTTCTAAAGACCACCAATAAATATAGATTCTATCAAAAACAGTTACTGTTAAAGCAGCTTTTTCACTGTTTGTTGGATTGTAAAGGAGCTGCAAAAATCTTTTTACTGACATCTTTATTATTATGGCAATAAATACTTGTATTTATTAAAATATTGTGATAACATGTTAGGGTCCATATCGCCCACCCCTACATTGTATAATTTATATGTTAGAATGGCCTATTCAAAGTCCTGATCGAAATCCATTTGATAATTAGCTCAATACATATTTTGTTAATATGAGCAGGCAATTATTGCTGTCTCTGTATTTGTTATTTAAGTTTTGTCATTATAATATGACAAAACGTGTAAAAACAAGAGGTATAAGGTATTATGCTTAGACCTGTGTAATTCTAAATCCTGTTGATAAATTAGAGGTAAAAGGTTTCATTTGGTAGAATGGAAAAATCTACAAACATGGTATGAGAAAACTTTTGTTTTTCTGATTTAAGCTTTACACAAAATTTACTACAGGTGACCTTCATTAGAACAGGAGGTTTGGACTCATTAATTACAGATTGTAGAGCGTTAGGAAACACCTGAGTACACATATGAGGCAGATGTTGTCAGTTAAGAAATATTTAGCTTGAACTCAGAAGAAGACAAAATATCAGACATTATGTGTTTGTCAAAACTCTCTAAACACTATTTTTGCATGAGATGATTAACCATTACTTGGTTTCTAAATTATTATAGATTTTGTTTGTATTTCAAAATCACTGACTTAAATGGTACAAAATGCAAACTAATAAATATTCCTTCAACTGCTGTCCCAGTGCTAAGATTTCCCATGAATTCTGTCAGAAAATATTTTGTTGAAAGAAAATTTATGGTCTCGCCACAATCCCCAAGTTGTCATCCTCATTCCTAGTAGCAGAATTGAAAACCTAAGTAAAGATATGTTTTCTATGGAAAATATGCATGGGATTTGGAAGAAAAACAGCAGCATTTTCTAGGCTTTCCCCTGAGAATTAACACTACACATGCTATGAGAACATAACCAAAAAAAAGATGTATTATTTTTAAATATCTTGAGAAATTTACTGTACTGTTGTATAAAGCAAATTACCTAATTACAATCCTATATTGCATCAACCAAAGCAAAAATAAATTCACTTTCCATTTAGAAAATAACACTGAGCTGGTAGTAACACTGTAGTTCTCCTAAGTTATGGACACAAATTATGTTCAAATATATAGTATTAGGCCTGATTTCATAGAAAAATATATTTATAAACTGTCTTTTTTAGACCCTGCTATGAAATTAAGTATAAAATCATAAGCCATAATTGTATTTCATATATTTTCCTTTTTGTTTTAAGATGAACTGGTGAAAAAGTAGGTCCAGAATACAGATGGACTATTTTCTGTATTAGAAAAAAGAAAGTACATTTTTTTAATTTTTTAATTTTGTCATTTTAAAACAGTTTTTCTTTTCAAATTTGGTCTTCTTTATTGTGACTGCCAGCTATTATAGACTATAATTGGAGAAGCACAAGTGCTGTACATATTTCATAATATATCAAACATTGGGATAGTGATATTATCTATTCATACCCCACAGCACACATATATTCAATGGTAATAATCAAAATGACTCGTTCAAAAAAAAAAAAAAAAACTGCAATTACTTTGCGAATTGAATTATCTGTCGATTATTTTTTCGATTAATCAATTAATAATCATATAGCAAAATGTTCCCTAAAAAAGACTGCTTACCATATTAAACCAGGTGAAACTAAAACGTTTCCACTTGAGGAGTTCTGAATAGAACATATTGACAGATAAAAAAGCTTTTTTTTTTACAATTTTGGTATAATTATTGCTCAGTCGTTGGTTGATCTGTCATCTATAGGCATATTTTACAGTCTCTGAACTCCAGTTGACAATTAATCAATTATTTAATTAGATGATTATTACAATTATCGATTCATCATCACAATTAATCCGATTGTTTCAGACCTATTAAAATTGTATTACTTTCTCCTCTGATTACACATCAAATATTGCCATGAATACAGAACCTATCTCTTGTTTTCATATCAAACTGTGGGTCTTTCTATTAATGTGAAAATCATATAACTGAGAGGAATTTTATCTTTCGCTGGAATTGATAGACTCACCTCATGGGGACAGCTTTCACAAGGCTGGAAGTGGCAAAGCCCTCTAGAGAGCTGCTCTGGTCCAGACCGACAGCAATCATCAACCCCATCAACGATTGCTTTATTCACATTGTCCATTGGAAATGCACACAGAGCTGAGTCATTCTCTGTGACTCCGTTGTCATCAGTAACAGCAAACACCCCATAGAGGATGTCATCCTCCTCTTCAGCACCTAATTCCTCTGCAAGTTCCCTGCCAGCCTTGCCAAAATAGGCTGCCTGTACCACATTGTACACAACATCCTTGTACGGTTCACTGCGAATGTTCCGTCTTCTGCGTTTAGGTTCAAAGCGACACTCCAGGATTAGTTCCCGATACCTCTTCACTTCCCACTCACTCCGTGGGAGACGTCCGAGACGAGTCTGAAATGGCGATGAGTCCTGCTCTGGGCTCTCTCTTTGGACTGAGAGGAAGTAGACAAACTCCTGAGTGTAAAAGCTGTAGACATAGTCAATATGGTATGTCTTCCTGAGGTTGGGCAGAACAGTGAGGCCTCGCACATCACTGTAAAAACCATCCTCTGTGGCCAGGGGTCTTCGGACTGATATTGACTTTCTTCCATAACGCTGAGTAACACTGTCATTGACAGAGGCAGCAACAAAAAAGTAGACAGTCTGACCCTCCTCTACCATTGACACTTTGGTACCAAGAGGGCTCGCTACACAGTCTGGACAATAAGCAGCAGAATTTGAACGCTTTCTGAATAAACACTTAGACCGAGAAGGTGGTTTGCCATTTGAGTTCAACTCGTGAAAATAGCAAACACCGTACTGAGAACTTCCACAAGAATATAAATACATAAAAAGAGTGTCCAACACCAGCACTTGATTATCTGTGTCCTCCAGGAGGTTGTAATCCTTATCAATATCACATAAATTGCATATTTGACACTCTGGGCTTCCAACAGGCCCAGTGCGGAGCTCCCAGGCCTTTTCCAAACTCCTGTTAACAGCTTCAATGACATTCTGTGAAGCAACATACACCTCCTGGTAAAAGGAGTTGTTGACTATGCTCTGGATGGGGCCCTGTGCCTGAAAGAAGGGCATGGTGTAAACTACAGAGAAGTTGACTGGGCTGGGGATCTGTGAGGAACAACTGCCAAAGGCAAAGGCCAGTAGAGTCTGGAACCAGATGCATGACCCCCACTTGGTGGTCCAGTGGACCATTGCCACTTCAAGGTTCAGGGGAGAAAAACTGCACAGATAGTTTAAGATCACCTCCAGGTATGATGATGCAAAACCATCCTTAGCACCACCTAAAGGGAGCAAGAGAAAAAAAAACAAGAAATTAAAATTCTAAATGGATCCTTTGGACATTTTAAACTAAGGTTTGAAAAAGTGATAATAGGCTTGAAGCTGATGGCTATTCAGACAAATCCCCTCATTTTAGCTAATATTGGCTAGTGAAAGACAACTTTAAAGGAATATATATCTACATCTGTGAATTACAATGCTATTTTAACTGCTAACTATGTTTCACACCTTCACAAGAGCAAGTATTAAGTTTGTTTTCACAGCTACAGAATTTAACATTTGTTATCTCCAGATAAGTTTTCACACATCAGTCCAGTCCAGGGGTATGCAACCTTTACAAAAGATACAGCTAAAACCTGCATTTGTTGATTTATTTATGTTTAAAGCATTTTTAGTTCTTAATAATTGTAAACAGGTGATAAAAGCAATTACATCACTCTTTTATCATAGCCCTGGTTTAAGAGGTCTTGAAGCCTTTTTGACACTTTAGGTGGGCAGAACGTTCGTCTTGTTTGGTGCCCCCCAATATCGCTGTAAGATTGGTCAGAAATGTAAAATGGTAGTGGTTACGTCATGACAAATGTGGCAGTGAAAATTCCCAATGGAGACTTCTCAAGCATCCCTCAAGTAAATTCGTATGATATATGAAAAATCCCTTGTTTGTTGATGAAACGAAGTCTTTGTTCTTGTAGGGAACATATTAGCCAGAAAAAAACCAAGACTTCACAAAAATAAAAAGTCAATGACAAAATAAATGGGAAGTCTTTATATCTCTCACATAGAAGTATTTGTCACTTTAGATCAATGCCCACATCTAATTTCTGACCATCCATATTTGTCAAACTTCATTCTTGAAAAGAATTCTTCACAGAATATACATCTCCAAAAAGCAGCAAGAACAGAATCAAGTAATTTTGTTCTTGCAGATCTTTGAACGACAACATCATCCCTTTTTTCTTGTGTAGAATTGATTGTTTTTCAGTTCTCCAAAAGTGGTTAAAACCTTTGGATTGTGCACCAGGCTATTGTTTGTTTAACATCACTGAGGATAGTTTGTTGCTGTATTCAATACTATGATTTGAAAGTTATTTCACAGGATTTACCTTAAAAGGATCTGGCTAATGCAAATGTCTGCCTCCACCAATCAAAGTGCAGATGCTACATAGTTGAAAAAGTTGTGACAACCTTTACAGCTGTCACTTTCGAAACACAAAAGTGTATCTAATGTTGCATGGTATCCCACGTGCATGATTTTTGTTTTATTTGGAGTTGTTCTGAATTGATAAAATCATATAAATTGATGAAGGAGCGCTAAAACTTCCACAAACTCATTGTGATCTTAATGATTTGGGCCTGTTTGTCTGCACCGCTTCTCTCTGCTTCAGATCCTATCTGTGCGGAAGATAGTTTCACCGGCATCTCCTTGCCAGCTCACTGATCATGCATTTATCTACTCCACATGTTTACCTGGTTGTACTTACTGCTCTACGGCAGATAAACAGCAACAGATTATTGAAAGCCTTGTGTGGCTAAGTGTCCATCGTTTCTTCCTTGCTGACATGCCTGCCTGATCTTGGTCTCAATTCTGCCTCCTGGATTTACAAGTTCTACCTTAGGTCAAAAATTCCCCTGGCTTCTGATCTCTGGTCTTCAAACTTTTTTTTTTTTGCTTCCTGTATTTTTTGCTGCCTCATGCCTAACCCCAAACCGAATCTGCCTCCCTAGGTTTAACCTTAATTCTGCACCCCAACTACAGAATTGAACTGTAAAGTGCCTTGAGATGACATGTGTTGTGAATTTGGCGCTATATAAATAAACTGAATTGAATTGAATTGAATTCAAGACTGACCCTTATTCTGCTTCCACGGCTATGACCTAGTTTCTTTTCCCTGACTTCTGATTCCTGTCAAGCTTCTAGGCCGGTAAGCATGAAGCTTGCTTCCGGTTCAATCTTTTTGTTGATGTGCTGGATCAGATCTTGATGGTTTTTTTTGCACAAAAACTTAGGGGTTTTTTGAACTAACAAAGTCTTCCTTTGTTAGTTCATAAAACTCTGCCAAGCGCTTTGCAAAACTGTCATCAGAAATACCAGTATAGTCTGAATCGCACACACTAGTACTAGCAGTAAACATGCTGGTCTGTCTAAATGCTGTTTGCCGTAATTAGTGCAGTAAAACCTGATGTTATCCAATGAAAAGTGTCATTATCAATTGAATGCAAACTTGAACTGTATGTGTCACTCATTTCTCACAGTGAACGTCGATCACGTTTATGCTCATTACTTTAAAACTGATCCGGGCAGCTCACCATTCACTAAAAATATGAACTTATTCAGTGAACGCCACTGATTGAACACTTTCTTGCACAACACTGCATCAGTCTACAACTGAGAACTAAAAATCACGCCCCCCCCCCCCCCCCCCCCCCCCCCTCACGGATTATGAGCTTTACCTTGCCCACAAATCTCTACCCACCAACTATCCCATCTCTCTTCCCTCTAAGTTTCCCAATCTCTTTGCTGGTGACTTACTGCCTATTTAGGATTACAGATTTCAATAAATATTTAAACTTTCTTTTGTTGTGTATGATTGAAATTCTGGGTCCTCACTGCATCACAGTGATAGCACACTAGCGGTAATACTTTCATGACATCCCACTTGAAAAATAGTCAGAACTTTTCTTTAAAGAGCTTTTTCAGGGGCCATATAAGAAATCATTTCTTAATCACCATGTAAAGGCATCTGTTGAAAAATAGTTAGCTGATCTATGTTATTTTTTAAAGTTACTGAATAGAGCCCTTTAAGCCACATGAGTACAAAAACCCAATAAACTTAAGCTTATAGACTGATTTAAACTTTACAACATTAATACAAAATCAGGGTTCCTGTCAAAGAAAATCAAAGTTATAATCTTTAAATATATTACTACATTAATTACATACTACATTAATTTAAATTAGACAGCATCATGATCATCATCCTGGTTGAGCGTGATGATAAAATCAACTGCAGTCATAAGAAGAAGAATTTCTTGTGAGTCACCACAAACAGTTACAGGAAACGTTTATGTAATCAAACATGGAGCTTTTCCAGTATTCAGTATTACATAAAGGAAAAAAAAACAGTTTCATTTTGACACTCTATACTGATCATCTTGAAATAGTTAACCAAAGTATTAACACCCCTTAAGCAATTCACATTTCAGATTAAAACAAGAAACTTTAAAGCATGATAATGGGATATTAAATGATAGCTGAGCTGTTCACTGGCACATAATTAAATAAGTGGATGAAAAAAGAATACCCATAGCCAGCCTTTTCTTTATCCCCCCAAAAAATATCCAGTGCAATTAACTGCCCTCAAAAGTTACCTAATCATTAATGAGCTCTGTGTGTAACTTGCTGTTCTGTGAAAGCCTTAAGGTTTCATTAGAGAATACTAGTGCACATTCTGTTAGGAATTTTGAAGCAGGGTTAGGTTGTTAAAATAAAAAAAATATCTAAAAATGGAAATATTTTAAGAACACTCCAAACGAGCAAAAACTTGGCATTTAACACCAATAGCCTAGGAGGTTGAGGGTAACTCTGGAGGAGCTGCAGAGATCCATAGCTGAATCTGCTATGGTAAGATGTGAAAATGATGTTCACAGATATTCTCAGTTTAATCTGACAGAGCTTGAGAAGTTTTGGAAAGGAGAATTGGAGTCTCCACATGCGCAGATCTGGTAAATAAATAATCCCCCAAAGAAGTAGCCACAACTGGAGAAAAAGATTGAAAACAAGTATTTAAACACCCTGCTATTTTGCAAGTTCTTTCTCTTAGAAATCATGTAGGGGTCTGAAATTGTCATTTTAGGTGCATGTCCACTATGAGAGACACCATCTAAAAAAAAAATCCAGAAATCTTAATCTATGATTTTTTTAACTATCTATTTGTATGATACAGCTGCAAATAACTATTTGAACACCTGTCAATCAGCTAGAATTCTGACACTCATAGATCCAATTAGAATCTGATCTTTTCAAATGCTACCTGTGTCTAAACAGCCAGGTCGCATCCATCCGACCTGAATGTCATTAATACCCGATGGTGGTCACTCTTCTGCTTCTTGAGGTGCAGAGATGGCATGAAAAACAACAACAATGGTGGACGATAATGCGGAGAGTAGTATTTATGTTTAACCATCCTGGACAGATTGAGTTTTTAAGGTTGGGAAAGATCGCCAGATGTTCTCCAGCACTACCATCCATGTTTACTTCCGTAAACACAGAGCACGCTGGCATGTGACATCATTGCTTCCTCTACTCTGCATGCATCACACTTAGGTTGTATGAATGCAGTTCACACAGGAGATCACATACAAGTCACATATATTTGGAAATGTGAACAGCAACGCAAACAAAATCGGATTTTACAAAAAAAATCTGATTTTATGAAAAAAAGTCTGATTTTACTAAAAAAATCTGATTTTACTAAAAATCTAAATTGAGCATCAAGGCCTGCAGTGTGAATGTAGCCTTAGTCAGCCTTCATAATGTCCATCTCCCCTCCATTTATTATCTTAAATTAGATGCACCTGTTTGAGGTCGTTAGCTGCAAAATCCCTCCTGCAGTGTGTGCAAACCTGGTGGAAAAACTACAGGAAACGTTGGACCTCTGTAATTGCAAAGGCTACTGTACCAATTATTAACATTGATTTTCTCAGGTGTTCAAATACTTATTTTAAGCTGTATCATAAAAATAAATATTTAAAAAAAATCCTACTTTGTGATTTCTGTTTTTTTTTTTTTTCCACAGAGAACATGCAGCTACAATGATAATTCCAGCCCCTTAATGATTTCTAAGGGGGAGAACTTAGAATTAATAGAAGGGTGTTCAAATACTTATTTCCCTCACTGTATTTCTCGCTCCACAAATGGAAATTTTCCAAATAGTTACTCTTCAGTAGAACTGAGAACAAGTTAATCGCCATTGTGCAGCTTCAATCTACCAAATTAGGCAAATTCAAATGTTTCCATTTGTCGCTGTGATCCACCTCTGCACAACAACCAGAGCAAACCCTCTCTTCATCCTGAACAGACATTGCCAGGTGGATCATTAACCAGACACATTACAGTAAAGTTGCATTCAAGAACCTCAGCCTCTCTATTTTGCATTCATGTCACAACCTCTACGTGCCTAAATGAGGGGAAAGATGTGCTTGAACTCATGGTTAGAAGACAGAATGTACCTTCTGAAAACTCTCAAGTGAAGAAACTGCTTTTCTGCACATGTCACTTAATGTAATCACCTACGATTTTATTGTTCCAAAGCAGACAGACTTTATTTAGACCAAAATGCAAGCTTAATCCCGGAAAATGGCTCTTGTTCTTTGCTGGAGGCAGTCTGATGGAAAATTTAAAGGAACAAGAACGTCCTTGCATCAATAATTCATAGGATGTTGCTGATGTCGTGTTACATTTTAACATTTTGATCTCCATGTGAAACTAAGGTTAAGTTGTGAAGACATGGGTATACATAGTAATGGCACTGAATTACTTTTTTTAAGTCTTGGTGAATAAAAGTAAACGTCTAAAAACGATTTCCACTCATTGTGCTAATTTAGCCCTGCTCTTTTTCTGGCCAATATTCCCTCACTCAACCTGTTTGTACCCACAGCAATTAGCCGAGGGGTGAGAAAGAACTATTGACCACAGTAATCTACAGTTTTATCAGGTAGATGGTACTGGAGGTGAAAGCTGAACAAGAAGAGAAAAGGGAGTACACTGTCATTAATCAATGCAGATTTTTCATCAACTGTGGTTGCAGAGAAACCATCTTACATTTCGTACCAAGAGGACACATTGATTCAGTGGTAGAAATTGAGCTCCTACCAATTACAAAACCATATATATGTGGGTCTTTCTATTAATTATATATATGTGTATATATACCGTATATATTGACCATTGGTCAATACAGCAGTATTCAAAAAATAAAGAGCCTCTGTCTGAAATAACAAAATTTAGCATAATCTGAGTTACTCTGTCTTTAGGTAACGAGACATTTGCATTATAAAAACAAACTATTTTTTAATCACTAAACTTTTCCTCAATATTTTTGTAGAATTGTTTCCAAGTTGTGTGATTTGGGGTTTTATTGTATAACATCATTACATGATTTTCTGGAAATGTATCCATCTTCCTGACAGAACTGGTAGGAAGGATTCAGGTCTTTTTGTAGCCTCGTTTACATATACTAGTTCATCTCTGCACACATTTTCTTTTGGGCTAAGATCAGGGATTAATGATGGCTACAGCTTTATTGACTTTATCATCATTTAACTACTTTGGTGATTCACTATTTAGTGTTATTTTTCATTTGAAATACTTTTTTTCCCCAAAGTTTTACCTGTGTGATGTCTTGAGATGTTGCTGGAATATTTCCACCCCCGTACCTCACAACTGTGATGTGTTCTCAGGCTTGCAAATTCTCACCTGTTGTTCTAAATGTAATAAGCACTCTTATGACTAAACGATATAATGTGATATTGTACACTGAGATCCAGATGTTTATGCTGATATATGAGAACATGGCTTCTTCCTCTGAGTGGCATTCCGGGCTCTGGGAATTCTGCCAGATAATCAAGATATATGGAAATCAATTATCTTCTGAGTATGTTGTGTGATTTCTTTTTCATTTTTTCTTGGTGTCACACAAGGTAACTGTGTGTTTGAGGTGTTTTCTCCAAATAAATTAACAGGGATTAACCTCAAATCACAAGTTTACCAGGCCATCCTATCATCATCTGAGCTTTTCTACATGATCTAAAGGCTTAGTAATTTTAGTGTTTTTAAAACTCAAAATTTCAACATAGTGAGGAATATAGACACTCATTATTTTGGTATTTACTGACCTAAAGCGGGAAATGTTTAGTCACATTCAGGAAAATAATGGTTCTACGCTCTAAAGCTTTAACTTTTGGTTTTGATTGTACCAAGGCTTAAAAAGAGTTCCCACCAATTGTTAGAGGAATGAAAGAAGATTTCTACACCTTGCCCACAGAAGAGCACATTAGATGTTTTAATATCAAAAGTAGTGAAAAGACTATATTCATATGGTGTACATTTTGAGCTAAAATGCCATGGCCTCACAGCATGGCGGTACTGGGAAGGGGAAGCACCCCCTTAATCTGGTCATGAATTTAAAGATTAATACATTTTATAGGTTAACATTTTTAGAAAATCCTCTCATGTAATAAGCAACCATGCCATTGCTGCATAACTCTGTTCTTAAAACTACAACTCACCAGCTGTAGCAACTGTTTATTCCAAATGTTTTGCTAAACCCTATGTATTAAAAAACAAATGTTCTTTATAACCTCATCAGAAGAGCAATATTTTATATTTTGGCAAGAAAATAATATATATTAACTTTTTTGTATTATTTTTGTTTAACAAAAAACATTCAGTTTCACTTTATCTGCTTCAATGTAAATACCCAGAATAACTATCCCTGAAATAGCCTGATCTAAGGCAGGGCAACACCTTATTCTGGGAATTTGGTCAGTGACGTGTGGTATGCTGCTGCTTAACCCATTCATTAGGGTGAGTTGTCTATTGAACTGATATAGGAAAATAAAAGTAGATGAAAAAATAAACAAAAAAAGATTGATTTTACCTTTTCATCTCAGCTTTAATAACTTTTCATTGTAGAGCCTAAACAAATATTGAGTTTCCTGCATTTTGTAATTATTTAATCATTCTTCTTTTACATACTGGTGTAATTTTAGCTATCATTAATGAGCTTTATCTTTTCTCTAATAAACAGAAGGTGTAAAACCCTTACCTGAGCAGGTTGGTCAGTGTCCTCCAACAACTTCCAGCCTCGCTCAGTGAGTGGCTGTCAGCGCGCAGTGTCCTCATCATGCCGGGAGGAGGGGACGAAAACTCTTCCTGTTTTAGGTCACTTGGTTAGGTTTACATGTGTAAACTCATTGTTTTGATTACAAAAAGCTCCCGTTACTCTGGTCCTTAACCGTGCTGCGCCCCAGACTGACTCCAAATCTCCTTCCACTCTCTGCCTGCAGGGCCCAGGGGCGCCACCAAGAGGGGAAGGTGGGAAGGGCCAAAGACCACTCTGTTAAATTGGATTTACTTATTTAATTATACATAGAGCAAATAATATTTCACAGTTTGTTTTAAAAAAAATCATATTTAATGAGACCAAATTAGGTTATTTATATATATATATGCATATACATATTTATTTACTGTGGCTCTGCTGAGGTTTTAAAGACCAGCTGTCTTTAGTAGCAGCCCTCTTATTGTTCATTCCCATGTGTAGGTCAGGCCAGTTCAGCGAGGACACTTTTTAATACTACCTAAGGTATCTTTGCCAGTGATAAAGGTTTTTAAGTAAAATGAAAAAGATATTTTCTCTGGCTTGACTTTGTCTCTCGATATCTTAATGGAAAACCTGTTTTCCATTGGTTTTGAACCCCTTGACTCATTTTAAATAAATCTACGTTGTTTCTGGTTTTGGGAGGGATGGATGGATGGATGGATGGATGGATGATTTCCCCAAAAAGTCTTAAATGCATTTAAGACATTGCAGAAATATGTTTGAATAGTATCAAGTCTGTAGTTTCTACATTGATCCATTGGATTATGTGACATATTTGAGTTTTAATGGTCTCATAACCACAGAATTTTAGAAACAATTTGGGATTTCCATTTACTAGAATTAAATATACATCTGTTACTGAATTTATATAATAGTTTAACTTTATTGATCTCACACTGGGGAAATTTATCTCTACATTTATCCCTGCATATGACTTATGAGTGATTTTAATTTTTTTTTTTTTAGCTGGACATAAATGTATTATTTGAACCATGAACTAATTTTGAATCTCATGCAACTTTTATTTGAAAAATCCCATTCAAATTCCTACCTTACATTCATCTTTATATATAACCCTAAAGGCCTGTTTTGATCTGCCCCTGTGCGTACAGTTCTTTTGTTTAGGCAACAGCATATACATATAGTGGTGTGTTGTCTGCATGTTTTCATCATGGTATTATTCAAGGATGACAAAGGCTTTGATTTTTCTCTTATTTATTCGTAAAATGCACCTGCTATAAATATGCAGCTTTGCACGATACCAATTATTTAAGGCATGATTAGGGGAGGCAAATGTTGCAAAACAAAATTCAGGGAAACACAGATCACCCGTTTGGTCTGAAAAATGCATCAAAAGGTAGTTTTCAAGTTAAAGAAATAAAATGGCACATTAGCTGGAGAAACTCATGCATTTGGACACTAGAAGATAAACGGTTTATATCAAGATAAACCACGCAAACTTAAAAGCACAGTGAATAGCTCCAGTCTCTTTTATGGAGTGTCTCTTTAAGGAATAGAAGTGCATAGAGGGAAAGCAGCAGTGTTTCCTAGAATCGACAAGGCTCGACAGGTTTTTGCTAGTCGGTCTTCAAAGAGAGTAGAACATGCTCCTGCAGTTTGGGAGTTAGTAAGACATATTTTCACTTTCAATTCATAAGAAATATAATAGCTTTAAAAAAACAGTGTTTTTCTTAGAAGCATGATAGCTATGTTAGTAAAACAAGTCTTTATTAAGAACTTCAATAGCACAAACTACATGTTTCTGTCTAAGCTGAGGCGACTGCATCAATCTCTTGTTTTTTTAAATAAAACTATTTAAAATCTTTCCAGGTAAAATACTGCTTTAATTAACCCTCTATTGAAGAGCCCATAAAGTAACAAAATAAGGAATTAGTGGGTCCAAGAATCATGAAATGCAAATCTTTGACAATCTGTTGTCACAGTGAGATGAGTGCAGGTTCATCGTCCCATGAGGTCATTGGAAAAAAGCTGGACAGAGTAAACAAAGTTCTAATCATCTAAAGTTCTAATCATCAGAATTGAAGGCTCAATAAGTGAGCGGACTGAGAATAAAAAGGCGATCCTCCTCCTTCCTGATCCACTTCAGAAGTTTGTTGACAGCAGAGACTGCCAAGGCCTTCGTCGCCATTGGGCTGAAGCAGAGGTAGAGCTCGAAGCCACTCGTCACCTGCAGGGGGGGGGGAGCAGAAAAGGAAAAGTAGCATGAAAATGAAGCATTGCATAACATTCACCGATGGTTTACTACTCTTTCTCCAAGAACAATTTTGAGATTTTCAGAAAAAATACATAACCAATTTCACTCAGGTATCTGGCAATATATTATTGTCATTGATATTCAAAGGAAAAAGAACCAGAGCATGGCTAAACCTGTAGACATGCAACAAACCTTCAGTCCTCAGGTCTTGGGGAGAAAAAAAAAAAATTCTTGGATTTCATCCTAGCCGACTGGTTTCAGCAGGTTTTTATTACATGACTGAAAACACTAGGAGTGTGCATTTAATAAATGTGCCTGCTGGGGGATCAAAGACCACAGGACTAATCCTCCTGAGGGAGCAAGGTGGAAAGGTAAACACAACACCAGTGGTAGACAGATTTTATTTCTGTTCCACTCCCACATGAAAAGAAAGTGGTGCCATTTAAAACTTTAATCACAAAACTATACTCTGGCTTCCTCCCACAGTCCAAAAACATGACTGTTAGCTTAATTGGCTTCTCTAAATTCTCCGTAGGTGTGAGTGTGTGTGTGAATGGTTGTTTGTCTCTGTGTTGCCCTGCGATGGACTGGTGACAGGGTGTACCCCGCCTCTTGCCCGTAGACAGCTAGAGATATGTACCAGCACCCCTCGCGACCCCAGTAGGGATAAAGCGTGTCAGAAACTGGATGGATGGATATATGTAGGTATATATACACACATGTATGCGTGTATGTATACATGTCTTTTTCATAGAAGAAAAAGTAAAATCTTAAAATGAATATGTATATGCAAAATGTTAACATATTATTTTTTTTTTACAATTTTGATATAAGAACTGCTCCAAGTGGGTCACTCTCATCTAAAGGCATGATTTCTAGTCTCTATACTCCATTTGACAATTAATCTATTATTAAACTAGTTGATTATTATTTAAATAATCAATTAATCATGAGGATTAATAATTGCTTTAGTCCTAATTTATATATATATATATATATATATATATATATATATATATATATATATATATATATATACACACTCAGCGGCCACTTTATTAGGTACCCCATGCTAATAACGGGTTGGACCCCCTTTTGCCTTCAGAACTGCCTAAATTCTTGGTGGCATAGATTCAACAAGGTGCTGGAACCATTCCTCAGGGAGTTTGGTCCATATTGACATGATGGCATCACACAGTTGCCGCAGATTTGTCGGCTGCACATCCATGATGCGAATCTCCCGTTCCACCACATCCCAAAGATGCTCTATTGGATTGAGATCTGGTGACTGTGGAGGCCATTTGAGTACAGTGAACTCATTGTCATGTTCAAGAAACCAGTCTGAGATGATTCCAGCTTTATGACATGGCGCATTATCCTGCTGAAAATAGCCATCAGAAGTTGGGTACATTATGGTCATAAAGGGATGGACATGGTCAGCAACAATACTCAGGTAGGCTGTGGCGTTGCAACGATGCTCAATTGGTACCAAGGGGCCCAAAGAGTGCCAAGAAAATATTCCCCACAGCATGACACCACCACCACCAGCCTGAACCGTTGATACAAGGCAGGATGGATCCATGCTTTCATGTTGTAGACGCCAAATTCTGAACATTCCCACCAGAATGTCGCAGCAGAAATCGAGACTCATCAGACCAGGCAACGTTTTTCCAATCTTCTATTGTCCAATTTCGATGAGCTTGTGCAAATTGTAGCCTCAGTTTCCTGATCTTAGCTGAAATGAGTGGCACCCGGTGTGGTCTTCTGCTGCTGTAGCCCATCTGCCTCAAAGTTCGACGTACTGTGCATTCAGAGATGCTCTTCTGCCCACCTTGGTTGTAACTTGTGGTTATTTGAGTAACTGTTGCCCTTCTATCAGCTCCAACCAGTCTGGCCATTCTCCTCTGTCCTCTGGCATCAACAAGGCATTTCCGCCCACAGAACTGCCGCTCACTGGATGTTTTTTCTTTTTCGGACCATTCTCTCTAAACCCTAGAGATGGTTGTGCGGGAAAATCCCAGTAGATCAGCAGTTTCTGAAATACTCAGACCATCCTTTCTGGCACCAACAATCATGCCACGTTCAAAGTCACTTAAATCACCTTTCTTCCCCATACTGATGCTCGGTTTGAACTGCAGGAGATTGTCTTGACCATGTCTACATGCCTAAATGCACTGAGTTGCCGCCATGTGATTGGCTGCTTAGAAATTAAGTGTTAACGAGCAGTTGGACAGGTGTACCTAATAAAGTGGCCGGTGAGTGTATATATATATATATATATATATATATATATATATATATATATATATATATATATATATATATATATATATTAATCCAAAAAATAATTCACAGATACACAATTTCTTTGAAATTCTGGTTCCATTTTTTTTTGTAGAGTGCAACGAGTTAAAGCAAAATGCAATTAAAGATTAATCAATTTGCAAAATAATTGTTAGTTGCAGCCCTAATATATATATATATATATATATATATATATATATATATATATATATATATATATATATATAACATAAATTTGTGACTTTGCACTTGACTCAACTTCTATACCTTGAATTGAGAGGTAAAAAAAAAGGTAAAACTTGAGACTCACTTGACTAAAAAAAAAAAAGAGATTTAGTCTGCTCTCTGCTTATTAAACCTTCCTATCTTCCCTTTGTGATGCTTCAAGCATGTGAAGCTTAAAGTAATAAAACCCAATACAACATATGGATCATTGAGGACTACAGAGAGAAAAAAACAAGTGTAGGAACCCTAACCCAAAGTAAAATGAAGTTTCTTTTGCATTATATTTTTCAGTTTCTAAGGATAGAGGACCACTAGCACCCAGTTAGTGACACTAACCCAGGCTAGCAGGTTTTCAGCTTCACTGCAGCGGTAGAAGGAGCGGAGCGGCCTGGTTGGATGGTGCAAGCAGCTGTGA